GAGAAGGGGGGGGCCCAAAGGGGCCCTAGGGGGGGGGGAAAAAATGGCCAAAAATTTTTTGGGGTTTTGGGGGAAAAAATAAAAGAGCTCCAAAATTTGGGGGGGTTTTTTAGTAGGTGGGGGAAGGGGTTTCCTTTTCAAAAGGGGGGGGGGGTAAAGGGTAAAAGGATTCGGCCAACCAAAAAAGGGCCCCCCCCCCCCCCCCCCCCCCCCGCTGATGCAGGGCTTGCGGAGGCATGGGCATCCTGGTGAAGGAGAAATTCGACCCCGAGCGCCCCCCAGAGACGAACGCCTCCTTCTCCCTTAGAAACCCCGACGAGGTCCAGACGTTCTTGGCCACGCTCGTGTCGCACGCCGGCACCGTGACGTCAGCCAAAGCTCCTCCCGCCACCGCCGCCGGCGACACGTCATGACAGTAGGCCGGCCGGTACTGCTGCTGCTGCTGCTTTTTTGCGTGTGGGTCGTTGCCAGTGAGGGGATGCCTTTCGGTTGGACGCCCTTGGCCGCGCGATCCAATCCACTGGTTTGTGGCGATGATGGCAATGATAAGGATCAAGGTCTGTTGCTACCCTCAGTGGGGAGTGTGTGCCCTGAGTCTCCATTTTTTAAGCGCGTCGTAGTAGAGGTTTCGTTTTTTAGGCCATCCATCCCCTTTTGAATGGTGAGATGCTTGATTGGGCTTCCGCCGGCCGCAGACCGCACGTGGTCTGTAGTCCCTGAGATGGGAAGGTCGGCGCGATCCATCGGTCGCTGCCTGTGCGACGATCAAGCTCATCTCGGCTTTGAGGTTCAGTTTTGAGATTAAGGTCGAACGTTCGTTTCCTGTTGAGGCAATGTTGCAAGGTGCGGGGGGGCCGTGCTATGAATAGTGTCGTGATTGAAAACAACGAAGGGTAGTCACACTTTCCCTACGCTAAAATGCAGTTGTCCCACGTTTTCTTTCGGTCAGGTTGACGGGGAATCCCTTTTTTTTTTTTTTTCTTGACGGGGGCCCTCTTGTTTTTTTTTTCTTCTTTATTTATGTCTTGTGTGATGTTGCCTGGGTGTACACTTACTAGACATTTGTAGTGATGTCAACTAAGCTTATAAAACTTGTGAATTCCGGTTTGGTTTTTGCTCGACAGTCAGTCATTTGAGAAAAAAAGGGGGTTTTGATATATAGGCGAGGAGAGGCGGGAAGAGGGAGAGGGGAAGGACACCGGTGTGGCAAGTACCATCGGCACATCGGCGAGGGTTTTTTTAGCCCTCGCCACCGTTGGTAGAGGGGGGTGAGGTTTTGCGGCCGCTTGCGAGTGGGAGGTGAGAAGGCGCGCGAGTGGGTACATGGGGGTTAGTTCGAGAGCATGGTGAGGATATGAGATAGGTGGGCTTGGTGTGGAGCTTTATTTCGTCAGGGATTGGTGCGGGCACGGTGCGCGCGTCGCTTTTTCTTGTTGGTGTTGAGGCTGTTTCGTGTGCGCTCGTTGATGCTTCTCCGTTTGTTCCCTGTGACTTGCCGCGATCTTCTGCTGCAGTCCCATTTTCAAGCGAAGGTAATGGTGACGTCAGCATCCTTGAGGTTTCCTTCGGTCGCAGCTTTTTTGACAGACAAAATTGCATTTTTTATGTTATTTTGTGTTTCGTCGTATTTTTTGCCGTGCCGTAAGAGTTTGGCCTGCTGCCCGAACGTATCTTTTTAACAGTACCTGGTTATGTGTTTTATCGTCTCTTGGCGCGCGGAGGTCTCGAATATATCAAGCGGGCGTGTTGCCCCTGCGCCTCTTGATCCCTCCCGCGTTCACAACCCGTACACGATTTTCGTGTTTTTTTATCTTGTTCGTGTCTTTGCCCGACTACTACTACTGGTGTTTCGGCGCTCCCTAGGGAATGTGTGGTTAATGACGTTGTTCTTTAGCGGTTTTCGGGAACAACGCCCAACGCTGATAGGTCCAAAGAAGAAAAAAATCCACGGTGCCCCTCCGTCTCTCGGTGGTGGCCACGAGTGGTTGGGGCCTAGAGCAACGGGGTGCTTGTGCTCGTTTGGCGTGGTCATGGACGTTGCGTGGATCAAATGTACCAGAAGAGGGGGGAGGTAGAGTTGTTCATTGTCGTCGTGCGGATTGGAGTGGCATTGGGATGGGCTGGCGGGCGGGCGGTGATAGGTAAAAAATGAGGAATCGAATGGTGATGGGAGGCCGTTTGTTCCAAAACGCCTGTTTGTCCGACAAATTAAGATGTGAGTGAGCGAAAGGAGCAAACCGTGGGGTAGAACGGCTCTCTTGCTTGTTTTTTCTTTTCTTGGCATGATACTGCTCTCGGCGGGCCACTCGCAGAGTTACTATCTCTCTCTCGCCGTCTTGTCTTGAAATTAACCGTTCTGTGTTCGGGTGAGGTGTATGTGGGGCCGTGCAAGTGCGCCCCCCCCCCCCCCCCCGCGCGCCCGCCCTGTTTTTGGGGAATTTCCCCAATTTGGGGTTTCCGGGGAGGGGGGGGGGGGGTTTTCCAAAAAAACCGAAGGGGGGGAAAATCCTCCCTTCCCCCCCCCCCCCCAAAGGAGGGGGTTAACCCCCCAAACCCCCACCAAAACTGGGAATTTACCGAACGACCCCGGGGGTGGGGGCCCAAAAAAGGGGAAAAACTTTTCTCCCCGGCGCCAAAAAAGGTTTTTGTTTGGGGAACGGGGGCCCGGGCCCCCCCGACGGGGGGGGGGATTTCCTTCCCCCAAATGGGGGAAAGAAGGGCCCGAACCCTGGGGGGAAACCATTTTCCCCCCGGGAAG